AGAAAATACTCTGGGATCAAGTTTCCTTCTTTCTTATAAGGCTGTTTAATCTTGTCCTCTAGTTCAGTTCAGATGTTTAACTACCTCTTCAGTTTTCCCATTCTTTTTCATACCAATCCCTAGCCCTTGAAATGGGTCCATGATCCTGCAGTCTTTAAAGACTGACGTCTACTCTTGTCTGGCCTTCCCTCTTCACTCCTCAGTCTTATTCAAGGTCCTTCACCATCATTCTCATTCATCACTTTGTTTTTGGATAAAAGTTATCCTGGTCTCCTTTTTGGTTTTAATGCCTATATTTTCCCTTTATCTGTGTCATTTTCATAGAATCATTAATTTTTCTAAAATATTTATTTTTATACCACTTCCCCACTTGAGAACCTACAATGTCTTATTTCGTATTAGGTAAAAGGAAATATCTCTTCCCTTGATCGTTCCTTAGTTATCAAATAAATTTATTTCCCTAGTCTTCACTAGTCCTTGGAGAGATGTTTGGATCTAGTCACATTTCCCTGATCTCAGCTTCCCTCCCTTCTTCAACCTTCCATCTAGGAGACATACACACACACTTATACACACAAACAACATCCTTTTCTCTAGAAGAGGCAAACCTATTCTTCTTGGGATACCTTCATGCTCCCTCCATGCAAATTCTACATTTCTTTTAAAATCATCTTCAAAAATGATCTGAAATTAAGTTTGAGCCCACAGTGAGCTTCTGTATAGTCTAGGAATGCCAGAGCAGGAAGGGAGATTCTTACCATTCATGGTAACCTCATATCTGGTTGAGAATGCCTTCCCATAGCATCCTGGAGAGATTCATTTTTTTCCTCAATCCCAGTGTTCCACAGATACTCCGTGATGTGTGTGAATGCAAAAATGAAAGAAGTGCCTGCCTTTATTACATTCTAACAAGCAGTTCAGTTACAGAGCAGAAAAAGTGAAAGGACAAAACTACGATAAGGCAGATAGTGATGTGGGGGAGAAACAATAGGGATGATGTAAAGGGGAGGAAATGCTTCTTCTGTGTCTTGAGGGGTGAGGAGGAGTTTAACCAGCAGACAAGTCAGAGAAGGGGTTCCCAGGAAGGGGTTTTCTGATTTTTTCTAGTACTTATGCATCCAGTCACCTTCACACCACCCTGTTCTCAGAAATCAAATTCTTGTTTAACATATTTTGAGATCCTCCAACCAGATGATAATATTTTTAAGAAGAATGATTGTGTTATCTGTTGCTTTTGTATGCTTCACATTGCCTAGTAGTTAGCAGGCACAAAATGGAGGCTACTTTGTGCTTTGGTTTAGTCTTAAATGATATTATATACCCCTTGTAAGTTTATATACATATATGCATCATAAATACATCCTCCCTACCTGCATCTTCTGTATTTGTCGTTCTGTTCACCTTTGTTAACAAAAACTTTATGCCAACAAGGTAACTCTGATGAGAATGTGTTGGGCTGTGGAATGAAACAGAACTAATTGATGAAAGTGGAAACTGTGGTCTTGAGCTTCTAGCATGATGGTTTAAATAAGTAAGTTAACTACTCACAGACTGGTGGTACATACTTGCTCCTTGTATAATTTGAATAGTCCATTTGTTATATTCTAGACATGATAATTTACAATCATTCAGGACTTGGTAAGTCATAAAAAATAGTTATTTTTTAAATCAGTGATGTTTATTATTGAATAGATTTGTTTCTGCCCTGTAACTCTACTCACTACTATCTCAAAATATTTGGCTCTAAGATGGTAAATAGAATGGAATGTTTGCAAATTGGGTTCTCATGGAAGAGAGGTCTATAGCAGATTTTTCTTTGATGATGATTATCAAAGATGCAGCAGCTAATATTTGTTCTTACTTCTTTACAGAACTCCTGATTGTTGGCTGGGCATGGGATTATTCAGAATAAATATTCAATTTTCCACACTATCTTGTAGCTTATTGTGGCAATGTGCCTAATTCAGGGCAATAAATATGGGAAGGAGTGATCTAAGTAGTTGTTGGGTTGAATTTTTTTTCTGAATGACAAAAAGCATCTCCTTCTCTTCATGCTTTTTCTATCCTCCCATTGGCTGGGTTATGGTGGTTAGTTTCCTCTATCACAGAAAAGTGGGCAACATATTTGGGTGGAAATGGAACAAGATAGAAGGAATCTGGGAGTTTGGTGGGGACTATTAAAGGAGGCTTAGACTGCTTATGCTTAGAGTTATTATGTCAAAGAGGAATAAATTGTCATGTTTAAGCTATGATTATTTTAGTCTCTAGTTCAGCAGCTAAATAGTACAGTGGGGGATTAAAAAACATATGGTGGTCATACAGTATCCGCTGAGTGATATTAACAAGACGAGAAATATACTTTTAAAGATATTTAATGACTTTTTTCAAATCAGTACAAAAATTTAAATACAAAAATGATTTGCCATTAAGTTTCAAATCTATCATGGAAACTCAAACAAGTTACCAGTCTGTTCACCATTCATTGTATTCTGTAAAATATTTGAGGACAGTCATCCACTACAGACATTCTTTTACCCTGTAGGATATCATACTTCATTAAAATTCTATGTTTAAATAAGAATAATGCCAGTTTGGTCCATTTTACATAGAAAAGTTCTAGTTAGTTAGTTCTAGTTAGTTTTGAAGTAAATGGGGATCATAGTATTATATTTAGACTTTAGAATATATAATTGTTTCATCTGTTTTCACAATAGTGTGTTAGCATGATATGTAACACCCAAAAGGGAAACAGGCACATAGATAATTATTTAAAACTCTTTTTTAAATTAAATGGAGTATCATTTAGCTCTGAGATTAGCACCATTGTAGAATACACAGTATCTGGCATAGATTTTGCTCCACTTCCATCTAAAAGTTAGAAGCATATGCCTGATAATATACATACACACATACATACACATATATCTATAGGCAATTGAATAACAACCAATAAATAAGCTGGAAATATTTCAAAAAGTGAAATTTGGTTTAACTAAAGAGACAATTTCTCTCTTGCTTGATGTATATTAAAAGCCCATACATGTACAGATAAATACAACTTTACAAATCAGCTGGTCTGATTTGCCTTCAAACCATTTCAATGTAGCTATTTAGCATAAGGAGCCAGGTGGGTCCGTGTTACCTCCATAGTCACCATCCTCAAGCCAGTATCTTCAAGACCAACATAAAGGATATTTGGCCACATAAATGCTGTCTACTTTGAAAATGAAGATTGGACAGAAGATCTTTTGATGGGGAAAATATATTTATAAGTAGCAGTGAATAAGAAACCTCGTAATAATGAACTCATTTCTCTTACAAATTGAGAAGAAATGGTGCTTATATACCACATAGGAAAAAAAGACAGAAATTAGGCCAAGATACTTTTTGTGGTGATAAAAATAATTCAGATTTGACACAGACACATTTTCACATGTTTTTACACCGTATTTATTTGTGTATTTCCTATTATATCTATCCCTTCAATTCCTCACCCTTAATTTTTGAGAAAAATATGTAAAATTCTACCACCATAGCCCCACTGTATTCCTACATGTGGTTAATGTGTCTGCAATAGGCTAATAGATGACTTTAATTGGTGTTTCCAGAAATGCTGAAGCAGTTAATATGTATCTAAAACCTGGAAAAGTATTTATTTCTCCCTTTCAAACATGTTTTGGTTATATAATTGTGCTGACTGGGGTGACCTAAAGAGCATGGGCTATTACTGCCCTATGACATTCTAGATATCTCTTCCCTAGGTCACTGAAGAAGCAGTAACTTTCCTACAATTTTAGTACCTACAGCTGGAAATCTCATATCTATTTTTAAATGTCAAATTTCATAATTAATTTTATATGCATATGTATTTTCATATGTAATTTTGATGCATTTTGCTAAATAAAAAATGACCTAGATTTTGGAAACTGATTTTGGAGCCTCAGATGACACAGGGAATTTCTTCAGACTTCATAGTTACTGAAAAATATTTGTGGTTTGAAACCTCATTGTGGTTTTTTGTGTGTCGGACAAAGAGGGGAGGATTTAATGCATGTATACACAATTGATCACTTCTATCAGTAATAAATATTAGACAGAACTGGAAAGTTATTGGAGGGTTTTTTCTTATAACTTCCGGGTGTCTATATTAGTTGGGACATACTGTAACTTGCATGGGGAGAGGAAAAAAGAAAAAACAAGTCATAGAAAAAACAAAACACTTGAGAGATAAATTTGTTAATTTGTTCATGTCTCTCCACTGGTTTGTCAGCTTACTGTGGGCTCTGTCTTATGCCCCACACTAACTTCTCACCCAGGGTTCAGCACAGAGAAGGGGCTGAGCAAATACAGAATGGGCAATTGGTTCACCTATTCTTTCAAGGACAACAGACACACAATGCTGACTAAAACTTCCATTGCTAAAGGACACAGCCTCTGATACTAGTAAAATATCTATTGGACTAGGGATTACCATGATCCCCTCAGCCCCCTCCCACTGGGACAGTATCACTACAGAACACCCCTCCAACATTTCATGGCAAAGTGTCTGCACAAATAGAGAGGAGATTAAACAAGCAAATACCGCATGTAATTGTTATCCTTGGTATTTCTTTAGGCATATTTATAAATAAAGGGAACAATATGAGTGAGTTTCTTTCATTAGCTATGATCTTTTAGACTGACATATTTTGACTGATCTGAATAAGCAGGTTATCAAGGAAGCATATAACATACAACAGCTAATATGATTCCAGTGGGTACAACACAAGTGTTGTTACTTGATACATAATAAATCTATCCCATCATTTTCAGTCACAAGCTGCTGTGCAGAGTATGAAACATGCATCTTAGTTTTTGTACATGATGGTCCAAATTTTCACTTAAATGTAACTTCCAACTATGTAAATGTTTTGAAGCAATTACGTTTTTCATTTGGATTTTTGATGTATCATTTTCTTTTCTTCTGTTAAATCTCTCTTTTTCTTTCTTTTAAAAATTTATTTTTACATGGGATACAATAAATATCCTGAAAAGGAGGAATGTACATACTGCCCAGCATACAGTCCTGCAGCCTGTTCTGAGGGCATTTGGAGGAACACCCGGTCTCCCGGCCTGAGCAGCAGTACAGCACTCCCAGATGCCTGGTCCAGAAAGCCCTTTTTATATTCGTCATACGTATACATCATGGGCTCGTTGTTCTTGAACAGAGCAACCCACACGTTGCCCCCCTTGCAGTGAACGTGGTATGCAAAGTAGTAGACGCCTGGAACTTCACAGGTGAAGATGCCCGTCTGTGGGTTGTAGTTCTGTCTGCCATTATAGAGCAGTTTGTCAAACTTCACCGGGGCCCCGACCGGTGGGAAAGGTGAGGTCAGCTCGGCAGTAAATGCAGGCATCTCATAGGCTGGCCCTCCATTCTTCCCTTTCTTAGCCCCGTAGACATGGGGTGGTTTCACACCATCAATTCCCAGTCCTTCTGGCAGATACTCTCCTTGGGGTGGTGGTGTAGGGGGCATCACTGCTGGGGGCCCTGGGGGTCCTGGAGGGCCGGGGGGTCCAGGAAGACCAGGCTGACCTTGAGGACCAAGGGCACCAGGCTTCCCTGGGGGACCATGAAGTCCTGCCACTCCTGGCTTCCCTACACCAGGGAATCCAGGGGGCCCTGGGAGGCCAGGTTCCCCTTTGGGGCCTGGAATCCCAGGTGGTCCGATGGGACCACTAGGCCCTGCAATCCCTGGTATACCTGGGGGGCCTTGTAGACCCTGATCCCCTGGAATGCCTGGTTCTCCCTTTGGTCCAAGCAGCCCTGGAATACCAGGGAGTCCTGGCAGTCCTTTATGTCCAGCTTCACCCTTAGGCCCTATAGGACCTGGCAAACCCCTCATGCCAGGGGGACCTACTTCACCAAGGAAACCTGGCTTTCCTGGGAAGCCTTGAAGCCCTGGCTCACCTTTGGGGCCTGGTGGTCCCTGTGGCCCAACAACTCCACCTTCTCCTTTGGGTCCAGGGAAACCAATAGCACCCGGAGGACCCATTGGACCTGGGATTCCAGGCAGGCCTGGCTCTCCAGGGGGACCTCCCATTCCAGGAGCACCTACTGGTCCTTTCTCCCCTCTTGGTCCAAGAGCTCCAGGAACACCCCCTACACCCCGGTCACCTTTGGGTCCTGGGAAGCCTGGTTTCCCAACTCCTGGAAGGCCTGGAGGTCCTGGAAGCCCTGGCAGCCCTTGCTCCCCTTTGCCACCTGGAAATCCTGGCTGGCCAGGGATTCCATCCTGGCCTGGCTTTCCAACTCCAGGCATCCCAGGAGGTCCTTGAACCCCTGGTACTCCAATAGGGCCTTGTGGGCCAGGTTCCCCTGGAGGCCCTGGCTTCCCCAAGGGGCCCTGAGGCCCAGGGAAGCCTGTCACTCCTGGTTTTCCCACTCCTGGCAGTCCAACAGGGCCAGGAGGGCCATGCATACCTGGAGGACCCTTGAGACCAGGCAAACCTGGCATCCCAAAGCCCTTTTCTCCTTTAGGACCCTGAAGACCTGGAGGTCCTGGTGGTCCTTTGGGTCCTCTATCACCCTTTGCTCCTGGTTGCCCTGGCAACCCTGGCCCACCTGGCTTCCCAATGCCTGGAAGTCCATGAGGCCCTGGAGGTCCTTGTGGGCCTGGGATCCCCATAGGCCCAATTTCCCCTTTTGGTCCAATTTCTCCTTTTGCCCCTGGCATTCCCATGGCTCCTGGCTTCCCTGGCATTCCAGGCATACCTGGCTTTCCAACTCCTGGATATCCCTGTGGTCCTGGTTTTCCTTTGACTCCAGGTATCCCATGACCTGGCAAACCAGGGGGCCCAGGTGGTCCTCTTGGGCCAGGTTCTCCACGGGGACCTTGTTCTCCTCGTAAACTGGCTAATGGCATTTCTACTGGGAAAGAAGAGAGAGAAGAATGAGAGGGAAGAGGGAGAGGAAAAGGTAGAAGAAGAGGAGGAGGACAAGGAAGAGAGAGAGAGAGAGAAAGAGAGATATTAGTACTTACTTCAGTGAAGTAATAATTATTATTGAATTCAACACATTTGTCTGTTACTTTTCAAGAGGAAAGAAACAATATACTCATTCTAAGACTGTTTTAGATCAGTGCTATTTGTCCTAGGGGTGTGTGTGTGTGTGTGTGTGTGTGTGTGTATTTTAAACAATGTTGGAGTCATTCTCTGTTTTTATTTTAAAAATTTTTTCTACTTAAAGTTATATTGTACTTTCCCATGAGTTTGCTTTTTTTGGTTTTAGCTTAAAATTTTTATTATAAATTGATCAATTATAGTTGTATAGAAATGACTTATGAAAGCAGTGTGGAAAATTAAATAAGCTAATAAACACATCTATCACCTTAAATACCTATTTTTGTGTTAACAGTATTTGAAATACTCCTAGCAGTTTTGAAATGTATAATATACCACTATTAACTATATTCATCACACTATGCAATAGATCTAAAAAACAACACCTCACAAAAACCAAAAAAATAAAACAAAACCATATTCTTCCTGTCTAACTGAGGCTTCATAGCCTTTGACCATCTTTTCCCCATTCTCCCAGCTTCTGGTAATCACTAGTCTACTCTCTGCTTCTATAAGTTTTGATTGTTTTAGATTCCACATATAAGTAAGAACATGTGGTATTTGCCTTTCAGTGGCTGGCTGGCTTATACTATTTTTAATATAATAAATTAGGACTAAATATTTCCCCATGTGCTGCAATATCATATGATACAGGTGATGAAAGTCATTATCATGTGAACTCTGGAGAAAAGGGAAGTATTATGTTTTATGTGTGGCTTGATCATACCTTTCTACTTCTGTCCTTTAGAATCAATAGATTTGCTTGATCTCTCTAATGTACTGTAGGACTTCCCAAACCTCAAATATTAATTCTTTAATAAATAATTTCTTACATTCAAATTTGACTTTTAAACAAGAGAGGTGAATATGATATTTTAGGATGACAAGCAGTTGAGATAAGAAAGGTTGGTTTAGGAGTAGAAAGCTCTGCTTATCTTTCTAGTCTTGGCATGAGATCTGGACTGGGTCAATTGAGACATCAGCCTTTCTGCTTGCTTATCTGTATATAAAGAATAATACAACCACACTACAAGATTAGAGAACAGATATGAAAGGTGCTATACTTTATCAGATTGCTACTGAAGCATAAAACATATGTTGTTATATTATATCATGCCTTTTCAGATAAACACAACTCTGGATCTCCCATGTTACTAGGAATTATTGAGTACATGGTGAAATGATAATATATGGTCCCAGATTCTTATTTTAACCAGTAGTTGTATCTTAGCCCTGACCACTGCACTTTTGAAAAGGTACTGTCAGGGAACAAAACAGAACTCCTATTCTTTTCAAATAGTACTATCTGAATAGTTACAGGAGGTACTAAAAACCAGGCAAGCCATTCAAGAAAGGAGGGGAAAAAGCCAAGAATATCCCATAAGTGGCATAGTAGCTCCTACAGAGAAGAAAATTGGAAATATTTCTCTTATGCTAACCAACATTATTATTAGCCATAATATTAACATTACTAATACATAATAATTATAACATAATTAACATCATTAATAATAATTAACATTATTAATATGCTAGCCAACATTATTATAGTACTTCAAAATAGCATAGGTATTTTGAAGAATTGTGCAGTTACTATATCAAGGGAGAGTCAGTATTTTGAGACAAGTTCTCACCAAGTTGCACAGGATGGCTTCAAACTTGTGATCCTTCTGCCTTAGCCTCCCAAGTGCTGGGATTCCAGGTGTGGAATCCCACCTAGCTGAAGGGTCACATCTCATTGGTTAGGAATCCCTGGTGTCTGGCATAGTGCCTGAAACACACTGTATTATGCTTAAGGATCTATTGAACAAACAGTGGCAGCAGCTCAAAGTCCCCACTGTGCTTTAGTGTTTACTTGCACTACTTACCATATGTCACGGATTTTCAAAATATGTTTATTTTAAGGATGAAGAAAAATAAACTCGGTGAGGTCAATGACTAGGTCTCTTGTTTCTGGGATTTAGACACTTATCCTTTTAGTACCACATTCAGTGCTGCTCCAGATGTGGAGCTTCCTGCAGCTGTGGGGACAGGTGGGCATGCCCTCTACTTCCTCAAAGGTAATTGCTATTCTGATGCCCATATTTTTCCTAAAAATGTTCCATTTCTGAGAACTCCAGATAAGCCAACTGAATTTATAATGTCTCACACTTTAAGCATTTTGTAGGTGTTACATAATCAATAAATATAAACAATGATAGGAATGATTTTCAGGTGTCATCTTTAGATGCAATCTGTACTGTTTAGTTTCCTTCTGATGATTTATTGACTGATATGCATAGATTAATTAGAGCAGTATTAAAAACACTTTCATCTATCTAACATACATAGTTGCAGAATACTTTTGTGTGATTTTTCTTTTAGTACATTTTCCTTGTGACATTTTTCTCCTCGTTCAGAAGACTGATTTGTCACTTTTCTTATTATTTTTTCCATTGCTTTATCCCCCATCATCTGAGACAGAACCTGACAGAAAAGTATGTACTCACTGAATGTTTGAATAAACAAGTAGCACATAAGGTGGTTGATACTAGTTCAGGCAAATAATAAAGTAAAATGTAAAACAGTAATTTTATCTGTATCTTGTGTGTGTGTGTGTGTGTGTGTGTGTGTGTGTGTGTGTGTTGCTGGGGATCCAGCCCAAGTATCTTCCTTTAAGACTTGAACTTTTCAGAAATGAAGTTTAGAACACAGTAGGCATTTAATAAACAGCAATAACAAATTTTAAAATAGAAGTTTCTATATGTAGCTTTTCCCACCACCTCCATAATTTAGGTAGTTGGAGAATTGCTGTTTTGTAACAGCGTGCAAGTACAGATGTTACCTTTGCCTTTCTTAGGTACCACCTCCTTGCCCATTCTTGGCACAGGTTGAATTTCCTTCATATATTGGGGTAGATGTGGATACTCTTTGCCATACTGCATCTGGGGCAGCTCCTTGCCCATGGCAAGGCCATCTTTGACCAATGGCATGTGAGGTGCTTGCTGGCCCAGAGGCTGGTATTGTGGAATTTGTGGTGGCATCTGAGGAGGAATTTGAGGTGGCAGCGGCTTGATTCCATAGTAGGCACCAGCTTGAATGAGCCTGATGGAACTCAGGGAAATGGTGAGCAGCACTCCCAGCAGCTGCAGAGGGCGGGGCAGCACAGCCATCACCTGCAGAGGAAGGAATGCACCATCGTGGTGAGAACCTGCAGGCAAAAGGACTGGTATCTATTTAAAGACAGAAGAAGGAACTGTGGGGCAAATAAAATCTTTATCATCAGAACTTTACAGGTGGGGCAGGCAAATGTAATGAAGATGCTACTTTTTAACAGAAAAACCCAAACAAACAAAAACAAACAAACCCCAGAATAGGGTCTGTCAAATGAAGGCAGCTGGTAGGAAGGTAGGCTATCGCAGAGACTGCTTATTGTTTTCACATATCAATCCTGCTCTTTCCTCATAGTTTACGAACTGTTGAATTTTCTTTAGGAATAGGTCAATCCAGAATGAAGACATTTCAGTTAGATGTGGCCATGTGACATAGTTCTGCCAACTGGGTGTACGGTGCAACTTCCAAAAAGAAGTTTAACAGAGAGTAGGCATGGTCTTCCCCTGCCTCCTTCTTGGTGGTTGGAATGCTGATGTGTTGTCTGGAAATGTTGTAGACATCTTTAGCCATGAGGTGAAGGATGTGCATTGAGGATGATAGAGCAACAAGCTAAAAGAAATCTCAGCCCTGGTTCATCATGGAGGCACAACACTAAACCTTAAACTTGAAATTTGTTTACTCAAGAGAGAAATAATACAGTTTTATCTTCTTTGGTCTACCTTTATTTTGAATGTTCCACCTTTTTCACAGAACCTAATGCTAGTAGATTGATATATTCTGCAAACTTGGTGGCATGTTCATAAGTGCCAAAATTCTATTCTAAATGAAAGTAGTTAAGATTGTATAGATTTTATACCAAGGGCAGAGGTTTTTTTCATTTGCTAAATGCAGATGATTTATGCAGACATAAACATACATAAATATTTTGGTGTAAGTAACATTAAAAACTGCATAAGTCTTCTGAATTGGAGAAAAGGTGCTCCATGTGATAGTTCCAAAATGTCATTTAAAACATCAGTATCATAATTATGTACTCTTCTTTCTTCTATTTAAACACTATTAATTCATTAGTCATTAGTTTAGAATTTGACTTATTTATGGGCCTGGAATTCATAAAGTCTATCTGAACTTTTTTGAAATAAAGATTACAAAAAAGTTAGTTGTATAAATAAGATAGAGGAAGATGTTTGACCATCTACAAGAATAGATTTTCTAAACCCTTTAATAGCACTCTTTGCAAATCAGCAGTTAACAGAATAAATATAAATGGGGTTTATCTGTTTATAAAAACCAGCTTAAGAAGACCTCTGGAAACACCCTAGGCTGAAGACCAAACAGCCCATGGAAATGCAGTGCAGTCAAATACACACTAGAGGGCAGAGGAAGCACACATTGGATGTCTTCAGTTCTCCTCACCCCCTCTCCATATTGGTGCCCATACTGGCCCTATACTGGCTTAATGAAAATCAGAACTCTAGTGGATTGTCATCATAGTACTAGAGAGAGAGAGAGAGAGGAAGAGAGAGAGAGGGAGAGGGACAGGGAAAGGGAGAAGGAAAGGGATAGGGAGGGAGAATGTTCAGGAACACTTTGAAAAAAACTTCTGTCTATAAGCAATTTAATTTCCATTTTCATGGGAGTTTGTTTTCTTTACTTCTGCCTTAGTTTTGGATCATACTTTTCCACTTCTTAGAAAATGTGTATTGAATTTGCAACATCCTATTCAAGGGTGATGCCAAGAGTGTGAACAGGCTACAGAAGGATTGGTTAATAAAAAGCACCTAAGAAAATATTTAATATGAATCCCTACCACAAAATCCATTGCTTCCAATTTTTCTAAATATACTAACTAATCATTTTTTTTTCCTTCATGGAAAAAAAATGAAGCATTTGTCAGCAAAATGATTTATAAAACTTCTCCATTTAAAAAATTAGGATTATCTCAAGAACTGCTTATTTCCAGTGTACTTTGAGTAATCTGTGTATTGGTTAATTGAGAGGAGACAGAAAGCAGTTATTTTCTGTCTCTGTAAGAATAGTTGTTATAAACCATTTGGAAAAAGCCACAAATTTAATGTTGAGTTATACTCATTAATAGTTAAACTTATTTTAGGTAGAAAAAGAGTATTTGTACTCAACAATAATTTATTGAATTCTTACCAGAAATAATGCTAGGCCCACCCAGGGATTACAAACATGAATATAATATGGCTAGTAAGCTCCAAGGAGCTTTCACAGTTTTAGTAAAGTGACAGATGTACAAAGCATTGATAAGTAGTAAAGGATATTCAGAAAAACATAAATTTCCATTCTATATTGGCTCTTTAAAATCTTTTCCCTTTTTAAAATTTCTTTTATTCATATGTGCATACAATGTTTGGGCCATTTCTCCCCCTTTCTCCCCGCCCCCCCCACTCCCTCCCTACCTGGCAGAAACTATTTTGCCCTTATCTCTAATTTTGTGGAAGAGAGAGTATAAGCAATAATAGGAAGGAACAAGGGTTTTTGCTAGTTGAGATCAGGATAGCTATACAGGGAGTTTACTCGCATTGCTTTCCTGTACATATGTGTTACATTCTAAACTAATTCTTCTCAAACTAACCTTTTCTCTAGTTCCTGGTCCCCTTCTCCTATTGGTATCTGATGCTTTAAAGTTTCTGCATTAGTTCCTTTGCACTGAGGACATCAAAAGCTATCATGTTTTTTGGGGCATTTCTTGCCTATCCTCATACCTCCCTTGTGTGCTTTTGCCTCATCATGTGATCAAAGTCCAATCCTCTTGTTGTGCTTGCCCTTGATCTAAAGTCTGCATATGAGGGAGAACATATGATTTTTGGTCTTCTGGGCCTGGCTAACCTTGCTCAGGATGATGTTCTCTAGTTCCATCCATTTACCTGCAAATGATAAAATTTCATTCTTCTTCATGGCTGAATAGTATTCCATTGTGTATAAATACCACATTTTCTTAATCCATTCATCAGTAGTGGGGCATATTGGCTGTTTCCATAACTTGGCTATTGTGACTAGTGCTGCAATAAACATGGGTGTGCAGGTGCCTTTGGAGTAACCTGTGTCGCATTCCTTTGGGTATATCCCAGGAGTGGGATTGCTGGATCATATGGCAGATCTATGTTTAGATTTTTAAGAAGCCTCCAAATTTTTATCCAGAGTGGTTGTACCAGTTTGCATTCCCACCAGCAGTGGATTAGGGTTCCTTTTTCCCCACATCCTCGCCAACACCTCTTGTTGGTGGTGTTTCTAATTATGGCTGTTCTAACAAGGGTGAGGTGGAATTTTAGTGTGGTTTTGATTTGCATTTCCTTAATGGCTAGAGATGGTGAGCATTTTTTCATGTGTTTTTTGGCCATTTGAATTTCTTCTTTTGAGAAAGTTCTGTTTCATTCACTTGCTCATTTCTTTATTGGTTCATTAATTTTGGGCAAGTTTAGTTTTTTGAGTTCCCTATATATTCAGATTATCAGTCCTTTGTCTGATGTGTAGCTGGCAAATATTTTCTCCCACTCTGTGGGTGGTCTCTTCAGTTTAGAGACCATTTCTTTTGTTGAGCAGAAGGATTTTAGTTTTATGAAGTCCCATTTATCTATGCTATCTCTTAGTTGTTGTGCTGCTGGAGTTCCATTGAGAAAGTCCTCGCCTATACCTGTTAGTTCCAGAGTGTTTTCCACTCTTTCCTGTACCAACTTTAGAGTAAAGTCTTTTCTCTTTAAAGCTGGGTGCCAGTGGCTCACGCCTGTAATCCTAGCTACTTGGGAGGCTGAGATTGGGAGGATGGTAGCTCCAGGCCAGCACAGGCAAAAAAGTTTGCAAGATTCCATCTTAATGGAAAAAATCTGTGCATGATAGCACCCGCCTATCATTCTAACAGCAGCCTAAAATAGGAGGATGGAAGTCTAGGCTGACCTAGGCAAAAAGCGAGATCCTGTCTCTAAAATAGGGGCTGGGAATGTGGCTGAAGCCTGCCTCACAAGTGCAAAATCCTGAGTTCAAACCTCAGTACTGCCAAAAAAAAAAAAAAAAAGTACGTGGGGGAAACCTTTTCTCTTTAAAGCACCAACTTTTCTCATCGTTTCCCATGTTTTTCCAGAGATATCTATAATTGTGTAATATTTATATAAACCACTTTAAAGCACAAACTTTAGGGTAGTATACATACCTCTGTTTCCCTTTTTTTACTCAAAATTTAGTATTTAGTTTTTTTTATCTTGTTATGAGTAACTAAACAAAAAACCTTGAAGTTTTTCATTTGTTAAAAATGGGACTTAGTTTTTGCTTATACATCATCTGGCTCTAACATTCAGTGCCTCTAAGGTACTCACTAGAGAGGTGAAAGTGTTAATCCATATCAGAATTATATGGTAAAACCTGGTAATGTAACAGCTGGGACTTGATTCTACATTTGGGGATGAATGAGTTCAATCATTGAACCCTAAAATTGTGATGATGTTTTTAATAAAAAGCTGGCATTCTTGGTCTTTCACCCTTCCACCAGTGCAGTGGATGTGTTGGATTATATTTAATAATCTTTAATCCAAGACAATCAATCTAGTGAAATACTGGAAAACTGGAAAGAGGCAAAGGCCTGGAAAACCAGTTTAATGCCAAAGACCCAGTGGCATCCTGGCTTCCCTACCATTATTTCCTCTCAGAGGCTTGCCCTTTCTCTCCATAAAACCACCTCTTTAGGTCTGCCATATGCCATTTCTCTGGCTTTAAATAAACTTTGTTCAGATTTAACTTGAATGCTTATTTAGGGGCCCTGGTTAAAATTTACCACTTGACTTATCCTTACTAATTTCTTTCTAGTCCCTGAGGAGATTTTTGGTGGTTCTTTCCAATCACTCAAAAGAACATCAGATTTATGTAACATTATACAAACACCTGGCAGGGAAGAAGGACCCTTGGAATTCCTGCTAGAAAGAAATGGTGGTTTTCCTGGGGATTCAGAACACAATAATATTGTGAATTCTTCTAGATGTTCTTCTCAGTTGCGGTTTGATAGCTGGTGAGTGTGTGTGTGGGGGTACATGAAGATAAACATAGC